AGAGAGTCATGGCAGTTAAAGTGGGGCCAAACTACTTTAATTCTGCAACCCTAAAAGGAAGAGAATGAGAATGAGGATGGTGTGTTGGAGGGCAACGGGTATTGGGTTTGATTCCTACCAGACCCAGGAACAACAGGGAGGCATGTTGTGGGTCTTGCTGGTGGACGGAGCGCTGGGACTGGGTGCAAGGGGTCCCAATTTGGATGTCCAGCCATGATGCTCACAAAGCAAGGCTCGGGACAAGCCGTTCCCTCTTGAGCTGGCCTTTCCCATCTTCTCCGCAGGGTTGTTGTGAGGCTGCTAGGAAGAAGGATATACTGCCTTGAGCCTTTTGGGAAAGACTGGAAGGGGAGAGATTAAAATTAATTAGTTGCAGGGAAGGACTCAAGGCATGTGTAGGAGTGCAGGATTCTCCCTCGCTGCAAGGAACGCACTTCTCAGTTGAGTCGGTTTGTTCAATGCAATGAAGTGTGGGTTGTTTTGGTCAATGCAACGAAGTGTGGAGGGGAGCAAAGGGTGGTGGCCACTGTGTGGTTGTTCTAGTTTGGCTTTGCAAAACCAGAAAGGCCTTGCAGCCGGATGAATGGGGCAGACTTGCTAAAAACGCTGTCAACATTAGCCGGACCTCTTGAATGCAAAGCTTGCAAGATCTGCGATAGACATAGCAGAGTGTCTGGAGAGGCGGAGAGGGTCACTTTTCCATCATGCTTGGGGTCTTCTCCTCCCTGTGGTGTCCGTCTTTCCCATCTTTGGCCGAGGGTCAGTGTGTCTTTTGGGGCACAATAGCATCTTGTACTCTCTGCGCCTTGCGAACGGCCGGGTGTGGCATGTTATTCACGCAAAGCTTTGTGGACAATGGGGCAGTGTTTGAAACAAGCCTGGTACTCACAGCCTTGGCACCCAAATGAACCCGTCCGTCCCCATCCGCTCGGCTTGGAGACGCCACACGGCCATTTTCTGCCCTCAGGGACCCCCTTGCAAGGAAGACCAGTCTCCCCTTTCTTGGGTCCGGCTGGCCAAGGATGGTTTTCGGGGGGCAGAGCGTAGGATGGGAACTGGGATCGAATACTGTGATGATGATGATTGTGCAGGGAAGAACGGGTCTGTTCCTTTGTTGATTATATGTATTCAATCAGTTTTGTTTTTAATAAAAAAAATTAAATTAAAAACCTAAAGGGATTTTGTGTGCATTAATGTGGCAGAAGAGGAAGACTCATGGGGCTTTCTTGGCAAGGTTTATTAAGAGGGGGTTTGCCACCATGGTCTTCCTCTGAGCCTGAGAGAGTGTGACTTGTTTCCATGGTGAAGCAAGGATTTGAACCCCAATCTCCCAAAGTCCTATTCCAATGTTCAGGTCACGCTGGCTCCAGGCAAGGTCTGCAACATTTCTAGTAAGGTTTCTTGCAAGGTCTAGAACATTTCTAGTAAGGTCCAGATCGAGGAGTGGATGGGTGGCATGCATTACATCCAGCTGCCTGAATTCTTCAGCTGAGGTTGCCAAATGAACTTGTATCTGCAGGTCCTTTTCTCTGGCCGCTTGCCATTGCTGGAGTGGATTTGCATTCTGGAGTGGGTTTGCATGGTTTTTTTTTTTTTAATTTGACAAGCAAACAGAAAGTCACAGGACAACTCTTCCTGTTGTTGCAGCTGCATACCATCAAAGGCTCCCCACCTGTCAGATTACTACCTGCTGGCCAGGGATTTTCCTCTCGGGCAGAAGAAAAGGAGCGGGGAATCCTCCTTTATCTGGATTTGCACCTCCTCACCTTGACGGTGGGGCATTGGCACCCCAAAAGCAGAAGTTGACCTGACTTATAGAGACCCTCGCCAGTGGTTTCCTTGGCTGGATTTATCCAGAGGAGGGTCTCCATTGCCTTCCTCTGAGGCTGAGAGCTCCAAGGGCCCCCAGTGGGTCTCTATGGCTGAGTGGAAATCCTGGTCTGGCAGAGTCCTGGTTGTACACTCAAACCAGGTTCCCTAAAATACATATATTCAAATAAAGTGTGCCATTGCCTTCCTCTGAGGCTGAGAGAGTGTGACTCGCCCAAGTTAGCCAAGTGGATTTTCATGGCTGAGCAAGGATTTGAACCATGGTATCCTCAAGCCCTCTAGAGACCAGGGTTCGATTCCCCATTCGGCCATGAAACCCACTGGACAAGTCACACTCTCTCAGCCTTAGTGGATGGCAATGGCACACTTTATTTGAATATATGTATTTTAGGAAACCTGGTTTGAATCTAGTTTATCTAGTTTGTACAACCAGGAGTCTGCCAGACCAGGATTTGAATCTTTGCAAGAAAACCCCATGATAGGGTCGCCATAAGTCAGAAATTACAACAGCAATAAATCCTGGAGCCCTAGATCCGCACTCAGACCTCTACATCACATTGCCTTTTACCCCTTTCCTTGCTATGGACTTTTGTGTATTGTGAGGTTGTCTTCTCCATTAGTGAACCTGCCACTCCTGTGTCTTCAAAACCAGGTTGCTGCAGGGAAGGACTTAGCTTTATCTGTTGAATTTCTGAATTTTCAGGCCGATCATAAAGGCATAAAAGTACGCCCTGTTTCTCCTTTCCAAACACACACAGCAAAACTGGTGGTGAAGATTAAACCAGATGAACTTCAGTCACCGTTTACAGTGTAAACACTTCCCCTGGAACAACTTTCCAGGCCGAAAACAAGGAGGCATCGGGGACATGATGCACCGCACGCCACGCGCAAGTCAGGGTTCCCATGTGCTCCATGCGCAGGGTTGGCTTCTCCTCGCTGGATCCATTTTGCCCTCTTCTGGGTTAGTTCTTTGGGGTGCAAGAGACCCCCAAGCAAACATAACGGTTCAGATTTGCTCATCTGCAGCTCAAAATCTTGCTTCTGAACAAAGGCAAAACATTTTTTTCTAAAACTGGGCCTTCACGACTGCATGTTCCTGATGCAAGAACATGAAGTCTCCTTATGGAATCCATTGTCCTCTGCCTACAAAGAGGCCTGTGACCTCCTAGGAATGGAGGCATATTGGGTTGCAAGAGAGGAGGGTCCTTGTTGAGATGCAAATGGACTTTAAATGTCCTGGACTTTGCA